CTCCCCGCGGCGGGGCGCCCATGGCGGCTGGGCTGGGCAGGTTCCAGTTCCCGCGCGACGATGGCCTCCGTCCTCGCTCGAGGGATGGGCGCAATGCGTCCGCGATCTTCTCGATGAGTTCGAAGCAGACCGAGGCGGCGCTAGCAGGGCATCGCCGAGTCCCAAGCAGGACCCATGGGATAAATGGCAGGAAAAGGCATTGGGGCGGGGCTAGAGACATGCGCCGGTTAACGAAACTAAAGCAGAAATGGGTGCCCATGGTTGTTCAGTCGTTGCCAGGCCAGTCTCGCGGCGACCCTCGGGCTCTATTGCGCGCGGATGGCGAGACGCTTGCATTCTTTTGTGGCGCGCCAGCGTCAGGCCCCCCCCGAAGTTGACGCGCTCGATCGTTCCCATCTACCGAGAGCCAGCGCGGACGAGATCCGCAAGGCCAGTGCGAGTTTCCCCATCTCGCCTCCCTGTCGTTGGATGGATTGCACCCCGAGCAGTTGTCGCCGGTGTAGGACGCGGCACTTTTGACATTCTGGCGGCTTTGTATCGGGCCGTCGAGTGCTTGGGTTTGTTTCCTAAGCATCTCGTGTGCATGCTGTTCCCCCTGCTCGACAAGCCTAGATGGGGGGATTGCGACCGATCCTGCTGCGTGCTGGCCCCGTTCGACTTTGGGAGCGTTTGCGGCTTTGGAGTTTCGGCGAAGATTCCCCCAGGCGCTGTTGGGCGTTCGGCCTGGGGCGCTGCGCCGAGGATGCCGTGTGGCACCAGGCTGGCAAAGCGGAGATTGCCTTGCGCAGTAGCTCAGGAGGGAAAACACACAGACACAATCAATCGTCGATTCCCAGGAACATGTGGGGAAATATGGAAGTGGGGGGAAAGACGAAAACCAGAAAATAGGGGAAATATGGGGAATCCTGTTATTGTGTCTATTTATTTGTGTGTCCCTGGGTCCTTTCAGTAACCATGTTAAGATGGGTTCATTTGGGATGGTCAGATTGCAGGGGTCATTTTGAGGTCATGTGGAGGGGCCCCAGATTGTTGCGTTTCGGTGCTCAGTCTGGGACTTCTCCGTGTTTCGCCAAGTCGGGGTTACTTGCAGGGGACATGTTCTGCGACTTGTTTGTCAGAGTTTACAGTATCGAAGCTTTTGATCAGTTGTCGTTGGGGCATCCCTGAGCCCAGTTGTCATCTTATAGGGATGGTTATTCGCTCACTATTGAATTTGACAGTGCTACCGAAGTTTTAGATGGGACTGTCCAAGGCTCCCGCGGCCATCTTCGCCGTTTTTATTCGGGGCTTCTTGCACGTGCAGGTGCGGACGGACAAGCTCGCCGCGCTTGCCAGTGCTTTTGCCCCTGGCGCCTGAGCCCAGCAGGCTGGTCGGCGGCGTGGCGGGTGCGGCCACCGATGCGGCAGCTGTGCTCGGAAACGACCTCACGCTGGGGCAACGACGGTCGGCGCGGCGCGCCCCGTGGAGGCGCGGGCAGCGTTTCGAACGAGAGTGCTTCGAGAGCGGCAGCTTCTGAAAAAGGCACCGCGAACGTCTGCCCCGCCAGGACAGGTTGCACTGTTGAGATTTCTGTAGCTGGCGTGTCCGTTGCAGCCACTCTCGGGCCCGCCGCTGTCGGGATCGAGGATCGGGAATTTACAGAAGTCCAGCGTGTGATGTCGTCGTGCAAGCTTCTGAAAAAGGCACCGCGCACGTTTGCCCCGCCAGGAAGGGTCGCACTGCCAAGATTTATGCAGCTGGCGTGTCCGTTGCAGCCATGCGAGGCCCCGCCTTGTTTTTCCCTTCCTCTGTTAATTAAAGCTGTGCGCGGCCCGCTTAGCTTCGACCGGGAGAGGCTCGCTCTCGACCCGCGAATCAAAAAAGTCCGTTGCAGCCACTTTCGGGCCCGCCGTTGTCGGGCTGGCTGGATGATCGGGAAGTTGCAGAAGTCCAGCGTGTGATGTTGTCGTGCAAGCCTCCCTGCCACCATGACGTTCCTTTTCATGCGAAGTTGGCTTTCTGCGGGGTTCTTGCGTGGAGATCTAGTGCGGCCCGTGCGTTGCATTGGGCGCGCGCGGTTTGGTTGGCCTTCGCCTCCCCAGCCACCTCGTTCTACGACCTGCCAAACGTGGCGTGCTTTCCTTTCCACGAAGGGGTCGCTTGGGAGAGCTCGCGAGGGCCCATCCAGAGAATGCGTCTGTCTCTCACTGGGCGCTGATGTGGGCGGGCGATGCTGATAGAGTTGTTCACCTAGTTTCTACTCGACGTCCCTGGTGGCCGAGCTTCTGATGTTTGCGGTCCAGTGGTGCCATTGCGGTGCTCTTGCGGAGCTTATGCCGGCCTTTGTGGGGCAGCGGGCCATCCTTCATGGCTTGAGGAGGCCGAGGCGAGCAAGGGCCGCTGTTTTTGGGGCTATAGCTCAACCGGGGCTCCCCGGGTGTGAGGGTTGTCCCCGCCCAGCGGCTCCCCCGAGCCTATCCTGCATAAGCCTCGGCGCGAGGCCATTCCACGGGGCTCTCTGGATCTCCGAGGATTGGACGTTTGCCTGCTTCCCCCCTCTTCGCCCCCTTCCGCCGGACCGCGATGCCTGCCCGGAACCACGAGGCGGGCTGCTGTCCCCAGCAACATTGGCCTGTAGGTTCCTGCCGCAGGTTGGGGCGGGCCCGCTCGTAGTAAGCTGCCCCTCCTTCTGCCGTCATGGTATTCCAATCATGGTAGTAAGCTGCGGCGCTGCCCCTCCTTCTGCCGCATGGTAGTAAGCTGCCCCTCCTTCTGCCGTCATGGTAAGTGTTGGGGCCTTTCATGTGGGATTCCAATCATGGTAGTAAGCTGCTTTGGACGTTTGCGCGGGCGGGCCTTGCGCGAGAGGCGCGCCCTCCTGGATCTGTCGCGGGCGGCCCAGGGGGGCGCGTGGCTTGGCAGGCCCTGCGGGCGGGCGAGCAGCCGGCTGCGGCGCTCGTGCCAGTGCATGCTGCAGGAGGCGGCGGCAGATGCTCTGGCTGCGCTACCGTCATCCTCCTCCTCCTCTTCCTCTTCCTCCTCCTCCTCTTCCTCCTCCTCCTCCTGCTCTTCCTCCTCCTCCTCCTCCTCCTGCTCCTCCTCCTCCTCCTCCTCCTCCTCCTCCTCCTCCTCCTACCGTCATCCGGTTGTGTAATCCTTCCCCTCGGCATCAGGTTGCTAGCAGACGCCGCTATGCTGGCATGCGTCGGGGGGCCTTGCTCCATGGGCAAAGGGGGCCAGGAGGTCCGCGCCTTCCACGCCCCCGCCCACAGGAGCATGGAGGTCCTGGAAGTTCTGCCGCGGCCCGAGAGGAGGAGCGGCGTGGGTAGCTTTCTCGCTGATGCGTTGGCCGAGCAGGCCCTGCTCCTCCACCCTCGTGCCTCCCGGGCGCTCGACCAGGAAGGGAACGAGCAATTCAACAAGAGGATGCAGCGGCCGTGGTTATGACCAAGGTTATGAGTGTGCTCCCTGTCGAGAGGTTCGAGAGGGGCCACCTCGGGCCTTGACGGCAGCGTCTTAGGTCTGGAGGGCGGCACCACCGGGGGACTCCTGCCGGGGGCCGCGCCAGTTGCCCGAGGTGCCTGCTCTCTTGACGTGATCCTGGGACTCGCCCAACGACGGTGGTAGATTTCTCCAATGCGCACGCGCTAGCTCACGCGGTGGTCTCGCGTAGTGATAAGGATGCCGGTTTCTTTCGGTACTGCGTGCGGGGTCCATTCTTCGCGGGTCTGCTTCAAGCTGGGTCAGGAAGGCAAGGGGCGTGATTGGGCGGGTGCTAAGTTTACGCTGCCCGGCATTGTGGCAGGCTTGTACCCTCATTACAGGAATGTGGCGAATCGTCTGTCACAATTCGCCGTGGTGTCAACAACTACGTGCGATATGCTCCTGCCCTCCATCCTCCCTCTGAGGCCGCCGTGCCTGCTTCATGGACGGAGTTCTTAGTGCAGGCCCCAGGCATGCAGGCCCTCTCAGCTCGCATTCAAGCTGAAGAGCAGGCAGCAATCGTTGCCACTAGCACGGGTCATATTGTCACAGGCGCTTCAGGTGTACAGGGTGGGCGAGGCACTGTGCCTGTGGGAGGCACCCCCACCGTTGTGGAGGAGCCTGTGTCTTCCGAGGGTCTTGTCGATGACCCCGGGCGTGTTCTTAGGGGGCCACGTGCGAACCCTACCCCTACCCCCCACGATTTCTGAGGGGGAGGGGTAGGGTTCGCATGTGGCCCCCTAGTTCTCCGACATGCATTGAACCCTTAAGGGTCGAGGACGACGGGGGCCCACTTTTGTCCCTCCGCCGCGGAATCCTTGAGAGGATGGCTCTGACTAGTGGCTGTGTTTTGAGGGGCCAGTCCTGCCCCGGCTGTTGCTGGGCTGGCCTTCACTTTCTTGTTCCCCCCTCACCTCTCGTCTCGTGCTGCCCGAAGTGTTGCATCCATGGGCACTGTTGCCCAGCCTGCCGATTGTACCGACTGGCCGCGCGGGCCGCGGGCCTAGCTTGTGGCGAGAAGGGCACGACACAGGCTGCGCCTCTGTCCCCTGGGCCATCGAACGGGCTCGCCCTTTGGCCTCGGTCTCCCGCGCCCTCGGGGCGCCTGTGGCCTGGGCTGAGCCCTTTGCCCGCTGCGTGGTCCAATGACCACCGCTGGTTTGTTTCAGGGAGGTCGTTCACAGCGCGCGACCTACACTGTGGGCTTAACTGTTGGCCCCCCCCCGGTCCCGCCTCGTGGCTCGCAGAGGCAACCCTCCTCCCCATCTCCCTCCTCTTCCTCCTCCTCCTCCTCCTCCTCCTCCTCCTCCCTTCCTCCCTCCTCCCCCCTCCTCCCTCCTCCTCCTCCTCCTCCTCCCTTCCTCTCCTCCTCCTGCTCCTCCCTTCTCCTCCTCCTCGTCGTCCTGCTCCTCCTCCTCCTCCTCCTCCTCCTCTTCTGCCTCCTTGGGGAGCGTAGCCTCCTCCTGCCGCGACCGCGCGAGCCCGTAGGCCCCCGGGGCCGCGCGCTCCCCGCCCGCGCGCGCCGCGGCTCGGAGAGGAGGCCCTCGACTCGGACGTGTACAGGAGGCTGTACACCGACGCGGAGAGGCGGCAGGCGCCTCGCGGAAGTGTCCCCTCGCCGTGGGCCCCGCTGGACAGGGGGCGCTGAGCATCGCTCGGACGCGTGCATTTTTTCCCGGCGAGGGCCATCGGGGAGCATCTTTGATCATTCAGCGAAAAAAACACGCGCGACATCGAAACATGCACGGGGAATGGACGTCCGAGCAATGGCGAGGGGTATGGGGGCGGGGGGAAGTGGGGGAGGAGGAGGGGGGGAGGGCGAGGGGGAGGAGGGGGGGGGGAGGAGGATCAGGCCAGGTGCGCTCGCGCGTCATATCTGACGTCCTGCCCCTCCCATCCCTTACCATGGCGTAGGTCTCCTCTCTATTCGCACAGTCGGATGTCGAGCAGGGCAGCGATCCCGAGAGGGTGCGCGATGCATTGTAGAGCACGGCATAGCAGGGCGTAGACGAGCACGGCAGATCGTAGTATGCCATAGCATGGCGTGGCGCTGCGTAGTGAAGAATTGCATCACAAAGCATTGCATCGCAAATAATGGCATCGCACAGCCGTACATAACATAACATGGCATAGCATGGCGTCGAATATCAAAACGTAGCATGGAATTGCATGACCTGGCACTGCGCAGTCAAGCACTGCATATCCTAGCATTGCAGCTGAAGGCATGGCATCGCACAGCGGAACACCACATAGCATTGCATTGCATGCCGTGGGCTGCCGTGGCATGGCACTGGAAATAATGACGTCAGCGTTGCAGCGGGAGCACGATTCGGAACGGGCGGAAAGCGCGGAAATGAGGCCAACGCTGCAGCGGAAGCACGATTCGGAACGAGCGGAAGCGCGGAAATGAGGCCAGCGCTGCAGCGGGAGCACGATTCGGAACGAGCGGAAGCCCGAACATGAGGCCAGCGCTTCAGTGGGCCGGGAATCCTGAGGGTAAAAAAACAGTACGCGGAGGGGGGCTGAAAAACAGTACGCGGAGGGGGGCTGAATTCATATGGTGTATTTGTGGATGGGGGATGCGGTAGGAGGAGGAATGGGGGAGGAGTAGGGTGGGAGGAGGGGGAGGCGGAGGAAGGAAGGGGAGGGCGATGGGGGAGGGAGGTGGAGGAAGATGGGGGGGAAGAGGGCTGGAGGGCTTTTGCACCTCGGGAGGTCCCTTAGTGACAGCTTCGGACCGTCTGGAGGCATGTCGGGCTGTCTTTGACCACCTTTGACGCCATCTGGGGCCGTCGTGGAGGCAATCCAGGGTTGTCTTGGAGGCCTGCCATGCTAAATCGCAGGCCTCTTTGGGGCCCTCTGGGAGCCTCTTGGGGTCTCTTTGAGCCTTCTTTTGGCTGCATGGGGCCCTCTTTGGCCAGCTCGGGCCCTCCTTGGGCCTACCATGGGCCATTTTGAAGCCACCTGATGGCCCTGAGGCCCATCAGAGGCCGACACGGATAGCAGAATAACGCCGCCAGAGTTTCATTGATTCGGCCAACCCAGGGCCATACTTAGACTCCCCATTTACCCAAACTCATACTTGTGGGGGTCTGACATCCGCCTCAATCTTTTGATCAGCCTTGCATCTCGCCAGTCTATAACTTCCATCACACCCGCTCGGTTCATTCAGTGCGAAGGGGCTTTGAGCCTAGTGGCGCGCTGTGTCAGCTCGAAGCGTCGACGCAAGAACAGGTCCTCGCCTTCTATGTGCAGTTTCCATCGTAGCTGAGTTTGCTGGCGCCGAAGAGCGACCTCTTCTTTGAACACATGGCTCTACTGGTGAGTGTGTGCAGAGGAGGGGGATGCCGCTTGCCGATTTTGCCCGACATTTGTCCCAACCCTCCTGTGGTGTTGGGTCCTCGTCTTGAAGAGACAGCGTCCCGCGTCCCTCTCCTCTCCCCATCTTTTCCTCTGCCATCCGCATGTTTCTGTTTCGGCACACCCCTCACACGTTTCGTGGCGCCACAAGGAGCTCCACCGAAGACCCAAATGCCAGCGGTCGCATGCGCCCAGCGCGCCCATTTTGGCACACCTCTCGCACGTTTCGTGGCCCCATGGGGAGCTCCACCGGCGGCCCCGGTGGCTGCGTTCGCATGCGCCTACAGCACCCATTTCTGCACAACTCGCACGTTTCGTGGCCCCATACGGAGTCCCACCGAATGCCCCAGTGGCTGCGTTCGCATGCGCCCGCCGCGCCCATTTTGACACACCCCTCACTCGTCTCGCGGCCCCGTAGGCAGCTCCACGGGCGGCCCCAGTGGCTGCGTTCGCGTGCGCACACCGCGCCCATTTTGGCACACCCCTCGCACGTCTCGTGGCCCCATAAGGAGCTCCACCGACAGCCCCAGTGGCTGCGTTCGCGTGCGCCCACCGCACCCATTTTCGCATCCATTTTGGCACACCCCTCGCACGTCTCGTGGCCCCATAAGGAGCTCTACCGACGGCCCCAGTGGCTCCGTTCGCGTGCGCCCAGTGCATCCATCTTGGCACACACCTCACACGTTTGGTGGCCTCAGAAGGAGGTCCACCGACGGCCCCAGCGGCTCCGTTCGCATGCGCGCAGTGCGCCCTTTTTGGCACACCCTCACACGTGCCGCGGCCCCATAAGGAGCTCTACCTGACCCAAGTGGCTGCGTTCGCGTGCGCCCACCGTGCTCATCTTGGCACCCTTCTCGTACGTTACATGGCCCCATGGGGAGCTCCACCGACAGCCCCAGAGGCTGCGTTCGCATGCGCGTACCGCGCCATTTTGGCACATCTCTCACACGTCTCGTGGCCCCATAGGGAGCTCCACCGACAGCCCCAGTGGCTGCGTTCTCATGCGTCTACCGCACCCATTTTGGCACACCTCTCACGCGTTTCGTGGCCCCGTAAGGAGCTCCATCGACTGCCCAAGTGGCTGCGTTCGCATGCGCCCACAGCACCCATTGTGGCACACCTCTGGCACGTTTTGCAGCCCCATAGAGAGCTCCTCCGAATGCGGTGCGTATAACGACTGTGCTCACAATTGCATATGTTTGGTTCGTTCGCCTCTGTATATTGAAGTGGCTTTCCATCCCTGCATTTTTTTTTTTTTTTTTTTTTTTTTTTTCTCTCTCTCTCTCTCTCTCTCTCCTCGTCGGGTGGTCTCTTCGCCTTCGAGTCCATAGGAGTATTGAGAGGTTCTGTGGCATCGCCCCTCATGCCAGCACAAGAGTCGATCTTGGTCTTTCCTATGCTCATTCCGTCGTGTCTGAGGATGACACTGCCAGCAACAGTCTCGCTATATCCCAAACGCAGAAGTCTGCTTGAAATGCTATGGGCATCAGGATCCCCATTACGCCCGCGAGACATGAACGCAACCTTCGCCCAACCTCCCTCAAGGGATCCCACTCTTGTCGTCCCGCCCGAATGGGCGCGGCGATACCCGCAGTAGGGCCAGATGCACGCTCGCTCGCTCGCTCGCCCTCGCCCCCTCCCCTCCCCCCTCCTCTTTCCCCCCCGGTCTCTCTCAGGTCCAGACGACTGTCCGCAGGGGTGGCTGCTCGCTCGCTCGCCCTCTTGCTCCCCTCAGCCCCCCCTCTCCCACCCCTTCGGGATCGGAGGCCAGGCAGGCTGGAGGACGAGGGCCGGCCAGACAACTTCCTCCTCCCACCTGCTTCTCCTGCGGCTGCTGCTGCTCCTCCTCCTTCTGTTGCTGCTGCTGCTGTTCCTCCTCCTTTTTCTGTTTTCCCCTCTCCCCCTCCTCTTCCTCCTCCTTCACCCCCTCCTCCGTTTTCCTGCCTCCTCTTCCGTCCTCCTCCCTCCTCCATTCTCCTTCCTCCTCCATCCACCTTCTCCTCCTCGTCCCTCCTCCCTCCTCCCTCCTCCTCCCTCCTCCCCGCAGAAGCTGGAGAAGCAGGAGCCGCTGGACGGCGAGACGTACACCTTCAGGCCCGCGCTCGCTTCTTCCCCCGAGCCTGCGCCTGCTGCCGTTGGTGGCGGTGCTGATGGTAATGCTGCTGCTGCTGCTGCTGCCGCGGCTAAAGCATGCTGCCTCCGCCTGCTGCTGCTGCTGCTCCTCCCTCCGTAGCCTCGCGGCGCGCCCCAGCCGCGCGCGCGCGCGTTCCCGTTTCTGTTGCGAAGCTGGCTTGCGCGAGTACGCACGCGGGATGTCTCTGATCGTCTGTGCCCCTCTTGGGCTCCTCCACCTCTGCCTCTGCCGGAGGCCTAGAGGTTGACACCAGCAGTAACAACGGCAACGTGCCTCCACCGAGGGAATATGCTCCCGATCTCGGTGATGGTGGTAGAGTTCGGGCTTCCCAGGCGGCCAAACTGTTGCCACCGGCACCCGAACTCTGGGATGATCTTCCCTCGGTGGAGGCGACCCCCCCGGTGCCCGTGCTGGTGCCCATCTCCAGGCTTAAGTCGGGCGTGTCCCCCTACAGGGGGATTTTCAGCGAAAAATGTAATAATACCCACCAAAATACATTGAAAAGGTCAAAAAATATTCAGAAAATAGTCCCCAGACTATGTTTGGATTATTTTTGGACTATTTTTGGGGTATCTTATATTTTTCGTCGAAAATCCCCCTGTAGGGGGACAAGCCCGACTTAACTCCAGGCCTCCAAGCGTGCCTGGCCTCGGCCATGGTGCAGGGGGGCCGCTCCTGGGCGGCTGCGCTGCGCCCGCGGCGGAGGGAGCGGCGCCGCAGTGCCGCTGCGGCGCCATTGCGGGCGGGGAGGCCCTCCGCACGGCGGCGCCCTCGAAGCTCGGCTGGGTGTGCCTGGAGGTCCCTACAGGCCCAGACCCCTTCGGTCGCGGCAGACATCACGACGGGATGTTTTGTCAGCTGCGTTCGGCCTCTGGGGGCCCGCACTGGGCCTCGGGACTGTCAACAGAACGATTCGGGGGGTCCAGACCTTGGGGTTGACGTTATGAAGGGAGGTGGAGGCGGAGGCGGAGGCGGAGGAGGAGGAGGAGGAGGAGGAGGAGGAGGAGCAGGAGGAGGAGGAGGAGGAGGAGGAGGAGGAGGAGGAGGAGGCGGAGGGAAATCATCATGACGTCGGGGGTCCGGGGGCGGACCCACGAAGGCCTCAAGCGCATGCATGCCGCTCCCCCCGCAGCCCGTGGCCCCTGCGTGCTCGCTCTGGACCGGCTGGGGCCTCACAGCCGGCCCCGGGGCTGAGAACGGCCTTCGCTGTGGGGGGGCGCCCGTGTGCTCTGCGTGATTGGGCTGACCGCTCTGCAACGTCCTTCGTTCCGGGCGTCTCCATGGGGCCTTGGGCCTTCGGTGAAGGCCTCCCCCTCCTCCTCCTTCTCCTTCTTCTCCTCCTCCTCCCCCTCCACCTCCTCCTCCTCCTCCTCCTCCTCTTCCTCCTCCCTCCTCCTCCTCCTCCTCCTCCTCCTCCTCCTCCCCCCGTTCTTGAGACCGTGTTTCGACGGTACCTCCTTGCGCCGGGAGCTTGGACGGAGAACACACGGGCGAGGGCGGCAACGTGGAGCATGGCGGCCGGTGATGCCCTTGACTGGCACGTAGAGCTTCGTAGAAGTTGGGATCGCGCTGACCCCATTGGAGCGCGAGCCGGTGATTCGCCTGGGAGGGCCCGCGGAGTGCGCAGCTTGCCCTCGTTGGGAGCTTGGCGCACGACGCCTGACCTCTGGCGTCTTGCGCTTCTGTGCGGTGATTCCCGCGTGGCGCGTGGCGCCTGCGAGGCGCCCTCCCCGCCACGCGAGGCTGCCGCCCAAGGGCGTGGTGCCTATCAGTCCTGCGGCGATTCCCGCGCCTGGAGGGCTGGCTCCGAGAGGGCGGGCCGCTCGCGGAAGCACGCCGGGGGTGCGGTGACCTGCCATTGCATGATGCGGCCGACCCCGACGATGCCCGCTCTCAGAACGGCGGCTTCAGTTCCAACTGGGCCCGATGGGAGGCGCAGCTGGACACGCGCACGAGGATGGGGATGCCCACCAGTGCCCAGATCACGAGATGTTCATTGCGCAGGCGCCGCCAAGGGGGGGAAGTGATCGCCAGTGCGAGGGAAGCGGCGGCGACGATGACGAAGCAGAAGGTTCTGGACGCGGCCGCGGCGAAGAAGATTAGGTAGCAGAGAGTCCTACTATCCTTGTACTTGTCATCACGACTGTGAGCCTTGGGGCACTCTTTTTCGTGCTGAAGGCACGGTGTCGGACATGTGTCCACAGTTCGAGGCAGAGAGGTGGTGCTGCTGCTTGTGCAGCACCAGATGCGAGGCGGCCGCGGCGAACGTGGATTCGGTGCGCCGCTTAGAGGCCAACGTACGCCCCCGAAGGCCTCCGAACGCCTCCGAGCGCCCTCCGAAAGCCTCCGAAAGTCCCAGAGAACCTCCGAAAGCCTTCGAAGACCACCGAGAGCCCCCGACAGCCTCCCAGAGGCCTCCGAGAGCTGCCGAGGCCCTCCGAAAGCTTCCGAGGGCGCCCACAGGGCTCCGAAGGGCCGCCGCTGGGTGGAGACCCGCTGGCCCGCCCACGGCGGCGTGGCCGGTGCAGTGCAGACCGCAGGGCGCAGCGACGGCCTCCGTGGGCGGGCTGGCGCCTCCGAGCCGCAGCGCAGTGCTGCGAGGCGCCAGCGGCCTCGCGGCCGTCGGCGGCGCCACGGCGAGCGGCGGGGCACTGCGCGACGTTGGGCAGGGCGTGGAAGCCAGCATCCGTCGCTCCGCGGCGGAACAGCCACCGCCCAGGGTGCGCAGTGGGCAGCGTGAGGGGCCGAGCGGCCTCACGGGGTCCCTGGCGTGGAGGTCGGAGGGGGAACGGATGCAGGCACTGCTGCGCGTCCCTTGTCGCCACGGCTGCACTCGCCTAGGAAGCACGGTCGGAGCGCGCCCCCAGGAGAGGCCCGGGGAGCAGCGGTCCCCCCCCCCCCCTCCAGGAAGATGCTCGAGAGGCGATCAGGGTCTCGAGCGCTGCCGTCGACCCCGCAGCGCTGCGGCTCTGCGACACGCGACGTCGCGGCCCGTGCGGCGCTTCCTCGGTCTCGAGAGCACACGGAGCGATCGGCGTGCGCATGCTGGACGAGCCATGTGCGAGCAGTCTGCAGTTTGGTTGCTCCGTCGGCATCCGTGCTGCCCGCGACGCTCCAGTCTGCCCGCCTTCTCCATCCCGCACTTCCAGACGTGTCCATAGGGCAGGCCAGGCGTTTCGCCTGAGACTTCTTCGCCATCTATTATCCCGAAGCCTGAGGTTCGCAACAGTTTCGCTGATGGAGGGCTGGTGGTTTTCAAATTTTGTGGCTCTCGCCTCCGTGCCGCGCACGTTCGTTTTGAATGTTCGCAGCAGTTTCACGGGTGGAGGGCGGATGGTTTTCAAATTGTGGCATGGTCGAAGTTCTAGGATTGGTATTCTGGCGCGGATTAGGATTGTCAGGACGCAAAGGTCACGCTGTTGAATTCCTAGGGGTGGTGGTTCTGGCGTGATCTATGGTTGCAGCAGTCGCGTTGATCGGCGGAGTTGAATCCCAGGGACGGTGTTTTAGCACAGTTGAGGATTCTCAGAAGGTTGTCTTCTAATGGGACACTGCCCGCAATGGAACGAAAGTGTTTTTGGAACTTATGAGAAGGGAACTTGGAGGGAGGATCTCTCGTAATATCATTGACGCGTTTTGGGTTTACACTTGCCCTCCTCCTCCTCCTCCTCCTCCTCCTCCTCCTCCTCCTCCTCCTCCTCCCCCTCCTTGTCTCGTCGTCGTCGTCGTCCTCCTCCTCCTCCTCCTCCTTGTCCTCCTCCTTCTCCCCCCCCCCATGCGCCTCCTCCTCCCCCTTCTCTCTCCGTTCTCCCCCCCGATCCCCCCCCAGGCCGTCCTTTTCCCTGCCGCTCCGGGGGGCCGAGCCCTGCCCCGACACGAGGCTGCCGACCTGCAGAGCGTGCCGTCGGCGTGCCGGCAGCCCCGCGCGCATCCTTCCGCCGGCCCGCGAGCGGCGGTCGCCGCGCGAGCAGGCCTCGCGGGTGCCCCTCGGGCCGCGGAGCGGCGCCTTGTGTCTCGGTGTCGCTCACCGCCCCCCCGACCATTCCCAACCCCATCCTCGGTCTTATCTTTCTCTTCCTCCTCCTCCTCCTCCTCCTTCTCCTTGTTCTCCTTCCCCTCCCCCTCGGCGTCCTCCTCGCTCCCTGGCTCACCTCGTCCACCTGCTTCCCCTCTTTCCCCGTCTCCCCCACCTCCCCCTCGCTCTCCTCCTCCCCCACCTCCTCCTCCTCCTTCTCCTTCTCCTTCTCCTTCTCCTTCTCCTTCTCCTTCTCCTTCTCCTTCTCCTTCTCCTTCTCCTTCTCCTCCATCTCCTTCTCCTTCTCCTTCTCCTTCTCCTTCTCCTTCTCCTTCTCTTTTCCTTCTCCTTCTCCTTCTCATTCTCCTTCTCCTTCTCCTTCTCCTTCTCCTTCTCCTTCTCCTTCTCCTTCTCCTCCGTCTCCTCCTTCTCCCTTCTCCTCCTCCTCCTTCTCCTTCGCCTTCTCCTTCTCCTTCTCCTCCTCGTCCTCCTTTTCCTCCTGCTCCTCCTTGTCCTCCTCCTCGTCCTCCTTCTCCTCTTCCTCCCCCTCCTCATCCCTCGTGGTGCCCTCCTCCCTCCCCCTCAGGCCCGACATCGGGGCCGAGAGCGATGAATTCCAGCTCGAGCTGGCCAAGAGACTGGTGCCCTGGGAGAAGCGCAGGATTGGCCAGGCGAAAAACAGTCCAGAAGCGGCTTGAGGGAGGGCGCATCCATTCTCAGTTCGAAGGGGGTGCGAGGAGGAGGAGGAGGACGAGGAGGAGGAGGAGGAGGAGGATCAGGATAAGGATCAGGACCAGTGTGAACCCAAGACTCATCAACGATGTTGTGATACACCTTCCCTTCAAGCTCCCTTTTCATAGGCCCCATACAAGGATTCACTTCCACTGAGGGAAGTGCCCCGTTGGGAGACAACCGTGTGAAAATCCGGAATCGTGCCAACATACTATTCTCATAATTTCAACGTCATGAGTCTACCTGACTGTTGCGTGTTGACGATCCAGAATCGTGCCAGAACACCATTTCTGGAACTTCAACACCGCGAATCAAGTAACTGTCGCACCCTGGAAATCCTGAAGCGCTCGAATACACGATTGGTGGAAGGTTAACCATGAGACTCTGCGAAACTCTTGCAATTTAAAGACGACTGTGCGTGACGCTAAGGCGAGAGCCATACTTTGAAAACAAAGTGCGTTCAACCCGTAAAGCTCTTTCACATGTTTGAAAACGAATGTGCGCGGCACTAAGGCGAGAGCTACATTTTGAAAACGCGCCGCCCTCAATCCGTGAAGCCCTGGCATTTTTTACACGAATGTGTGCGGCGCTAAGGCGAGAGCCACACCTTGAAAACAACCCGTCCTCAATCCGTGAAGCTTTTGCACCTGTTGAAAGCGAAAGTGCGCGGCGCTAAGGCGAGAGCCACATCTTGGAAGCGACCCGTCCTCCATTCGTGAAGCTGTTGCCAGTTTCCAAGCGTCAGGCTGTCAAGTGGTATGGAAGTCTCACGCGAAACGCCCGGCCCGCCCTTCTGACCGGCCTCGGGGTGCGACAGTGAGGAGGTATTCATATTGAAAGGGAGTTCAGGAGCGTGGGTCCGCCGTGTGCGCGCCGTTTCCCAGTGCGCCGTGGTCCGTCCTCGAGTTCCTCGTCTTCGGCTCCCGCCGCTCGCTGCGGCTTCCCCGTGCCCCCGCCGACGCCTCTTGCAGTGCCTGCTCGCCCAGCCGCGCCTGCAGGCGCGAGTGCCCCACTGGCTTGCCCCTCTGGCGGGCTCCCGCGCTGCGCCTTCACTCTGGCCACCCTGGCCGCAGCAGGCCTCCTGTCCCCTGCCGCCATGGCTCCGTGGCAGGCGCCCTTCGGTTTGGTGGTACAGGCCCTTGCTTCTGCGGGCCTCTTGCCTTCTTCGGATGTCGCACGCGTCCTAGAGGTGTTGGTGGCCGCTGCGCCCAGGCCGCCCTTGCCGCCGACTCTATTTGCTGCTGCGCTTGCTGCCCGTGGTCTTCGCGTGGACGAGGGGTGCAACAACGTGTAGAGTGTCGCACAAAGCTTGTAGACTTGCGTGGGTAAAAGAACTTACTTCTCCTCCTTCATCCTGGTCCATTCCGCGTCCTCCTCTTCGTCCTTCACCGTATCCTTCTCCAATTCCGTGTCTTTCATCCCGCTCCCGTCCTCATCATACTACGCATTTTTTTCCATGTGCTGTTCCCCAGGCAGTGCTTGCGCGCATGGGGCCCTTAGTCTTATGGATAAGCGTTTGGATAGGGGGCAGCAGGGTCTCGCCTGGTCGGCGCCCGTGGGCGCCTCGTTGGCGCTTCGTGCGCTGGCTGGGCGTCGCGGAGCTCCGTCTGGCGGGCGCCCGCGCTCGTGGGGCGGGCGCCCGCCGGGCGGAGCCTGATCAGGCCAGACATCGCCCACCTTGAGAAGCCTTGGCGTCCCCCGACAGCCCCTCCCTCCTCTTCGCAAACCCCGTGCCGATCCATGCCCAGACCCCCTCGAGTCATGAAAAAATCACGACGCGAGGTTTTCCGCTATTTTCGGCCTCCGGGGGCCCTTACCGGCCCTCAGGCCCGTCAAAAAACGACTCAGGACGAAAAGCCGGTCCCGGGGAATGGGTCCGGATCTCTGGGGGTCGCGTCATGAAAAAATCATGACGTCGGGGGTCTGGGTGCAGGGCTCCAGTCGTGATGTTGCGGAAGGCCGTAGTTTTTCGTTCGCCCCGTGCGCTGGGACGGGTGCGGGGGCGGGCTCTGCCCGGTGGGGGCCCGTGGCTGCCGGGTGGGCGCCTCGTGCGCGCGGTCGGCACGGCGGGGCTTCGCCCCGGGAGGCGCCCGTTGGGCGCCCTGTGGGCGCCCACGGAGCACGCGCCACGGCAATGGCACCGCGTCGCTGGCGCCGCACGGTCTGCACCACATCGCTCTCACCGCAGAGCCTGCGCGACGTCGCCCACGCCCCACCGGCGTGCACACCACATGTGCAGGCGATGCTCTCCTCTGGCTTCACAGAGGCACGACACATGCAGCAATGGCACCGCGCACCTTGCACCGCACAGTCTGCACCACATCGCTCTCACCGCAGAGCTTGCGCGACGTCGCCCACGCCCAACCGGCTTGCACCACATGTGCAGGCGATGCTCTCCTCTGGCTTCCAAGACGGCGCGGGAGGACCCCAGACAGCCCCAAGAGGGTTTTAAAAGGGACCCGGCATGGTTCCCAAGAGGGGCCCAACATTGCCCCCAACGATGACATACCAATAAGACCCCTTGTTATGATATCGATTGGGGCCCTCTAGCGGCCTTCCTAGAGCCCTTTTAGCCTTTTTGGGGCTCCCTCCCCTCCCTCCTGGCTTCACCAACGGCCTCAGAGGGTCCCAGACAGCTCCAAGAGAGCTCCAAAATGGGCCCAAAATGTTCCCCAAGAGAGGCACAGCATTGCCCCCCACGATATCCGACCAAGAGCCTGTAGTATGATCTCGTTGGGTGCCCTCCTGGGGACCCTGGGCGTTCCTGGGATTTCCTCTGGCACCGAACACGGCCTGGGAGGTCTTCAGACAGCCACAGGAAAGCTCTAAGAAGGGTTCGAGAGGGCCCCAAGAGGGCCCCTCGACAGTGGCATCAAGAGGCCCTTCTTGGATGCCACTGTCGGGGGGCCTCTCTCTAGGGGGCTGCCTTGCCAGGGAGTCCTCCGGCCCGACGTACGTGGCAGGGTTGTGCTGGTTGCGCTGGTCATGCGCCAGCTTCTCATGCAAAGTCATCATCTCGCCTTTCGGGGCCTGCATTTTCTTGACGTCGAGCTCAGAAGGGGAAGGCCTGCTGAAATTGTAGGCAATGGCATGGTCGACTTCCGCCTCCGTGTTGTGGGCCTGCAATGTGCGCGAGCCACCCTCGGCCTTTGGGTTCATGGCCTGCTTCTTCTGCACCTGCTTCTCGGAATCGCACGCTCCCGAAATCCTGCGCTTCGCGGGCGTCGCGGCAACCGAGAAACTCTGGCAGGTTATCGAGGCGAGTGGTCGGTCTGGCTTCGCACGAGAGTTGACTGCGCACTTGGAGGCTCTTGACTTGAGCCAGGAGGGCGACGGTCAGCGATCTTGCAAGGGGCCCCCCGTTGCCCCAGGAAAACGCCCGGAAAAAAATGCCAGAAAAAACTCACAGAAATCTGGAAAACTCCCCAGACAAAACGAAATTCCCAGACAAATTGATTGAAACATGTTTGGAACAATTATGCGGAAATATCTCCCAGGGAAAGTTGGCCGGAGACGTGCCGAAAAACAAAGCACGAACATCTAAAACCAATGTTTCCATGTAAAGCACAATGCATTTTTTTTTTTTCTCCTGGGGGTGCGTGCACATTAATGACTTAGCGAGGTTTGGGGTGTCGGTCTCATCGATCCTCATCGTGTCACTCAGCAGTCATCCTGGCTCGAAGGTTTCACCGCATGCAGTCTGCGGTGGGCGTCCTTCTGGCCACTCTCACGTTCATTCTCCGCGACGCGGCTGATCGGACGTGGCGCGGCGAGCCTCCCGCACCTCTGGCGCCCTGCGAGAGAGAGAGTCGAAGGTTGAGGTGAGCTGCCCCGAGTCTGCGGTCGCACCTGGCATCGTCGAGGATATCGTGAGGCGGGTAAAGGCCGAGGACTGCGTGTGTGTCGTCAATTGCCAGTCGTACGAGAGGGACCTCAGGCTTGTGGGTGGCACGGGGCTCGTGCTGATCGTGGGCCAGCTCTCCATCTTCTGCGTCCTCAGCCGTTGCCCTCACAGGCGACAAGATGGCCCTCGTCGGTCACCCCCACCCACGCCTCGGGGCCACAGGAAGGCCTCTTTCGGTGCAGGAGTTATCCAATAGCCTGGAACCTGGGCGATGCCTGGCCATCAAATACCCTGGGGAAGATCTCTGGCATGAGAGGGTCGCGATGGGCCCTGGGCTTCGCACTGCCGACGGACTAGTTGATAGGTGGTGGATGCTGACCCCAGATGGGGACTTTTACGATGAGGATATCACGATGGAGGGCGAAGAGGGCGAGGGTTTGATGGTGCTCGACCTGATGGCCAGCTGCCCTGCCTCGCTCCGCGGGAAGTTCTACAGGTTCGCTGGCGACGCCTACCCCTCGTCCGACCAGGTCCGTCGGGAGGCCAAGGCCGCGGTCGCACGGATGCGGAGCGCGGGCCAGGGGCCGCCGCCGCTGACGCACTTCGTGAGTGACCAGGCCAGCTCGTCCCCTTGACAGGGGTCGGCCGCCGCCTTCGCCTCGGGGCCGCTCCTGCCGCTGGCGGCGGTGAGCCACCCGCCGCGGTGGGAGGCGCGGACACCCCTCCCATCGGCGACGGCGCGGCCGAGGGCGTGGCGGGCGCCGTCGCGCCCTATCTGGCAGTGCTCCCTGAGAGGCCCGCGCTTCGCGACGACTGGGTCTGGATCATCACGGAGAATGCCGGGGGCGCCGACACGCGGGGCATGGAGGTCACCCTCCGAGCTGGTGATGTCGCGGTCACCCGCACCGACGCCCTCGTCCGCCGACACGGCGGCTTCCTGCGGGCTCAGGCCGTCGCCAGCTCCGATTGCCTGGAGTTCGTGCGAGGGCTCAGGGCCCGCTACGCTGGGCTGGGCGCCCCCGCGGGTGCGGCGGCCCTCCGAGGCCAGGGCCCTCCCGCCTCTGGGCCCGACGCCCACGACGACGACGTCCGCGCGCTGTGGGTCGACTATGACGAGGTCGGCGAGAGGTTCAAGGCGTGGAAGAAGGCCGTCCAGGAGAGCAGGGAGGAGCCCATCAAGGCCATCGAGGTCCAGGGCCCCCCTGGCGCTCTCCACCTCGCTCGCCACGTCGAGCGCTACGGCGGTGACCCGAGGCGCTGGTGGCAGCAGTTCGCGCGGAGCAACAACATCGGGAATAACGACAGGGTCTTCCACGAGATGACCACGCTCACGGAGAGTTTCAAGTTTTTCGGCGAGTACGACCAGCTCAACCTCGGCGCGTCGGCGGGCATCGAGAAGCTGGTGCGCCGCATGCTCGGGGTGATCGACGCATGCTCCTCGGGCGGCGGCGTGCCGTCCTGGCGCATGGCTGCGGTCTACGAGGGCGAGGCCAGCTACGGTGACGCCATCGCCCCCGCCCTTCGCAAGTGGGGCGTGAACAAGCTGAGGAACCAGAACGAGATGGAGACCTCCCGCGCTCGCCAACCCCGCCCCGCCGAGGGCGAGGACGGTGCGGGAGGTCATGGGGCCGCCGACGGTGGCCGTGGCCGCGGCGGCGGCGGTGGTCGGGGCGGGCGGGGCGGCAAGACAGGCCCCGCAGCCCCGAGCAATGACTGAGCAGGATGACGGACCGTGGACAGGCCCTCCGCGCAGCGGCCCTCTGAAGGTGGGATTTTTCGGGCGCCTGGTCGCCCCCCTCTTTTTGAACATTTCCCGCTGGCCGTTCCTCAGCGAGAACGCGCTCCTGGTGCTGGCGGTCGTCGTGCTGCGCGCTATCGTGCTCGGGACCACGTTCGACAACTGGTGGAAGGGGCGGGGCGTCTAGTGCACTTAATTGGCTTGCTAAGACTGATGATCATCGACCGCCTGGGGTTCGAGGTCGCTCAGGCCACGCCGGTACGTCGGTGGGCGGTCGCGAGGCTCTACCCCGACTTGACGAGAGCCTAGCTTACCTCGAGGCCCTGGCGGAGCTTCAAGTGCGTGACGGAGGTCGTGATTCTTACATGCCGCCAGAAGCGGCCCTTCGAGAGTTGCTCTGTGACAATGCATCTTGCTACAGGATGGATGCCTCATCGACTACACTCGCGCCGTGCCAGCGTGGTCGGGTCTCCCTGCCCGAGAAGCGCACCACCGTGCCGAACGTCTCTGACTTGGTGGGCGACCGTGGCCGATCCTACCTGGCGGGCGCAGGAGAGCGTATGCTGGGCCCGACTGCTACTGACTTTAGTGATGATGGTGCTGAGCGATGCTACGTTGACCCCCAGCTCGCCAGCAACCCCACGCTCTACGCCCGCTTCATTCGCGATCTCAAGGCTAGGAACATGCTGGTCTTCGGTCGCTGGGCTCATGAGCGAACAGGATTCTTTTTTTACGCAAGATGTCTGGGAAGCTTCGCCTCATACTGGACGCGCGGCGGACCAATCGGAGGTTCTCCCCGCCGCCGCACGTCGACCTCTTGACGGCCGAGGGTTTGGGCCGAATCGAGTTGGAGCTCCCCGACGGACACGACTACTCATCCCGCTACTGCGGCACCGCAGACGTTCAGGACGTTTTCCACAGGATGGGGATCCCTCCATGGCTTTCGAGATGGTTTGGGCTGCCTCAAGTTCGTGCAGGCGATTTGAGCATCACGCAGACCCTGGACGGCGACGTGGGCCCCGACGATTTGATCACGCCTATGCTTCGATGTCTGCCCATGGGGTTCTCGTGGGGCCTGTTCTTGGCGCAGGACATCGACGACTAGGTCGCCAGCATGGTTTTGGACCGCGCCGAGCTCCTTCAGGACCGAGGCCGCCCTTTGGTGCTTACGCTGCGCGGCAAGCTCGCCACGAGCACGAGGCGCTACATCTACGTGGACAACATCGGCGTTTTCGGCTCCGACGGAAGGATCGTTGCCTCTAGGCTCGAGGACGTCTGGGCGGCCTTCGAGGCGAGGGGCCTCGCCGTGCATGAGGTGTCCACCTCCGACTCGGGCGTGGAGGCTCTGGGCGTTCTGTTGGACGGTCGGCGGCGACGCACCGGGCTGACATCCAAGCGGTTTTGGCGAGTGCGGGGCGCCCTGCTCGCTCTCGCTGCTCGTCGACGCGTCGCGGGCCGCCAGGTGGAGGCCGTGATAGGCCACGCCACCTTCTGCGGTCTGGTTCGGCGCGAGACGCTCACGGTCTTCTCCACCGTGTACCCGTTCATCAGGAGGCACTACGACGAGCCCGTCATGCTCTGGGCCTCCGTGGAGGACGAGCTGCGCGTGTTCGCTGCTCATGATTATGCTGGTCTCCAGTTGGGAGTCCGACTGGAAACCGCTCGTGATGGCCACGGACGCCTCGGCTGCTCGCGCTGGTTCGACCCCGTGGACGTTGCCGCGGTGGGCCGCTGCAGAGAGCGGGACCGCTACTTTTCCGAGGACCACGTGGCCGCTAGGGCGGCCGCCCTGGACGGGGAGGTTGTCTCGCCCTCGCCCGAGAGCCTCGGCGTTGAGGGATGCCTGGGCCGTGACGACCTACTCCCTGACCCTGGCTTCTCGGAGGTGCCCACTTTCATGACCGAGCAGGCTGCCTGGACCACCTTCGGCGGGTGGAAGTTCAACCAGGTTGAGGATATCATGGTGCTCGAGGCGCGCGCCCTCCTTCGTGGGTTGGAGCGAGTGAGCCGCGCGCGCTTCGGACGCAACATCCGACAAGTTCTTTTTGCTGAGAACCTCGGCCTGGTGCTTTCTGTCGGCAGGCGGCGTTGCCGTAACTTCTAGATTTTTGGCTATCCTGAGGAGGATGGCCGCCTGGTGCCTTTGTCGCAACATACACTTGTCCGTTCGGTGGGTCCCGTCGGAAAAGAACCCCGCCGACGGCCCTTCGCGTCTCTTCCAGCCTCCCGCTCGGCCTGCTGTTTGTAAGGAGGACGATGGTGCCCGACCCCCTCGCTTAAAGCACGCCCCCCTTGGTTTAAATGAGACCCTTGGAAGTGCGGGAGAACCGAGGGATCAGCCCAAACCCGAAGGAATGTTTACGTCTCGGTGCCTGTGCAGCCCCTTTCCGTTAGGTGATGGCTCCCGTTCTGATCATGTCCCCCATGCTGGGAAAAAGGAACCGAGACCAGCTGCGCCTCGCCGAGCCTCCGTAGGCGATTTGGCTCAAGCCATTTCATATGCTTCCGAACCCCTCTATATTGCAGTCCCGCACTCGTACTCTCCGAGCTACCCGCGCCGCGGCGCGCCAGGCGGGCCGTGCCACTCGCAAGCGCCACGTGAGCAGCAGCGCGGCCTCATCCGCATCACGGCCTCGCACTTCCCGCACCCCTACGTCGACGTATCGGCGAGGCTTGGAGGCGCTGAAGGGCCGTGCGAGTCTGGCGGACCTCTCGGGCAGCGAGGTGGTCGCGCTGCTCGAGGAGCTTCGGAGCGTGCTCGACTCCGACCCGAGGTTTGCGAACGTCTCGAGCTCGGAGTCAGAGGCGGGGGCGCCCGTCAAGCCTCCCGCCAGGCGTCGTCGGACTGCCCCTCGGACGCAGCGGAGCGCTATGGCGAAGTTGCTGGAGTCGCCCGCCATCCACGAGCTGTCGCGCCTGCCGATCGGGGAGCACGCGGCGGTGAGGCCGCGCACCGAGTCTCAGTGCGCCCAGGAGATTCATCAGTTCAGCCGCTTCGCGGGCGTAGCCAGAGTGATCGACGTCCCGTTGGACGACCTCGACGATCTGCTGGTGAAGTTCATGGGCCGCCAGATCCGTCGGGGTGTCTCGGCCGCCAAGGGCATGAAGCTGCTGGCGGGCGTCGTGCACGCTCAGCCGAAGGCGGGCAAGGGCGGGCTCTGCACCCTGCTTCGGAGTTGGCGGGCCCTGAACGGCTGGCAGAATCTCTGTCCGTCGACCTCGCGGCTTCCCGAGGCCTGGCCGATCTGGTGCGCGGTGGTCAACGGCCTCTGCGCGCTGCGGCGTTTCGACATGGGCCTGTTCCTGTGCCTGATGTGGGGCACTTACGCCCGCCCGAGCCAGCTGATGGCCTTGCGGCCCGAGTGCATCTTCTCCCCCAGCCGCGTGGCCACCTACTGGACCGTCCAATTGAATCCAGAGTGCGAGGGTGTCCCATCAAATGCCGAGGAGTTCGACGTGACGATCGAGCTGGACCACGGCTGGTGGAAGAGCCTCGCGCCGCTGCTGGACGTCCTACAGGCGCGGCCCAAGGGGGAGAGCGTCTGGGACTTCACCTACCCCCAGCTCGCCGCGACGGTGCAGAAGGTGTCTCGGGACCTGGGGTTCAACCTCGTGGTCTACCAGGCCCGCCACAGCGGGGCCAGCTCGGACATGTCCTCACGCAAGCGTTCCTTGGCCGAGGTCAAGAAGCGCGGGGGCTGGAAGTCCGACAAGTCAGTGGTTCGCTACGAGAAAGGCGCTCGGCTCAGCTCGACTTGGATGGCCCACCCGGCTTGGCTTCGCACCCACGCCGTGCACTGCGAGGAGAAATTCGTGGAGATCTTGGTGCGCGGCCTGGTGCTGCCAAAGCCCGCTTCTCATTCCCCGTGAACGAGAGGAGGCTCTTTGTGTTGGTCATCGGCAGTCTCTACATGCAGCCGAGCGAAGTGGTTCAAGCAGGTTTTTTTAGTTAGATACATACCAAATCAGAAGTTGGATGACGTCGCGTCTTTTCGACTGAGGAGCGACCTCCGTGCTGACAAGATTGGGGCCATCGTTGTTTCTCTCACCTCTGAGCTGCTGACGACAGGTCTGGTTCGGCTCATCTCTGAAGCCGACAGATGGATAGTTCCTTCGGTGATTAGTTGCTTCTCTTCGGTGAGTGATGCAGTTTCCTGTCGCTTCCCTGCTCTTCACCTCGATTGCCTCGTTTCACACATGTGTCGGTACAAGGGTTGTGCTCGCCTCCGTGTTTCTACTTTTATCATGCATGTGCTGTCTGACGACGCCACCCGCCTTGGCCTAAAGTGCCCAGGCGCTCGGGCCCGAGATGGCCACAAGAAACACGTCGCCGTGCCTCGCGCCTCTGAGCTGGTCCCCAAACGTTTCCAGTCTGCCGTGTGCTTCACTGTTTTGTCGGCCCTTCGGGCCCGTTACCTTACGGTGTGAGAGCAGCTTCTGGTTTGGGAATCTGAATCGGGTGTGACTTTGATGAGGCGGGGCGAAGCCCTCGCCTCCTTCTGTCTCGGATCCGAGTCGCTTTGACCAGCGAGTATAGTAGAGAGAATCGTTCCCCGCTAAGAAAGAAGGGTCAGTCATGGGGGTGCGTGCACATTAATGACTTAACGAGGTTTGGGGTGTCGGTCTCATCGATCCTCATCGTGCCACTCAGCAGTCATCCTGGCTCCCCTCCCTTCTTGAGCCACTTTGGGCTCACCCAACCCTTTCCTTCCAGGGTGTGACTTTGATGAGGCGGGGCGAAGCCCTCGCTTCCTTCTGTCTCGGATCCGAGTCGCTTTGACCAGCGAGTATAGTAGAGAGAATCGTTCCCCGTTAAGAAACAAGGGTAAGTCATGTCTTTTCCAGGCCGTTGATGGCCGGGATGGCGCGCGCCTCAGGCGTGCCTTGGGGGCGCAATCAGCGCAACCAGCGCAGCGGGAGCCAGAGGAAAGCGTTAGAAAGGTCTAAAAGGGCACTGAGACGGCTCCCATGGCGGCCCCCACCGACAGTGGCATCCAAGAGGGCTTTCTGAATGCCACTGTCGAGGGGCCCTCTGGGGGCTCCTGGGGTTGTCTGAGGTCTTGCCAGGCCGCGATCGGGGCAAGAGGAGGCTCCCAAGAAGGCCCCAAGAGGGTTCCAAGAGGCCCCCCACGAGGGCCCCCAAAATTATCATACCAAGGGTTCTTGGTATGATGTCGTTGGTGGCCATTTTGGGCCCCTCGTGGGATTGTTTTGGGCGACCTGTAGCTTTCTCGGGGCTTCTGAAGCCCCCCCGAGCCGCCCTCGGGGCCACAGGAGGGTTGCTACTGGGCACAATAGTATATCATAGTGAGGGCTCGTGATATGATAACAGTTCTAGGCACTTTTGGGCCTTTTTTGGGGCTCCTTTTCGGCCATTCTTGGAATTCCCTTGGGACTGTCTGGGGCCTGCCGTGCCGTCTTTGGGACCAGAGGAGAGCCAGGCTATTCTATGTGGTGCAGGCTATGGGATTCGAGCTACGTGTTGCCAGCTATGCGGCGAGACCTGAGTGGTGCAATATTACACCAGAGAAAAGGCCCAATCAGTGAAAGGTTTTCGCTGAGGAGATGGACCTGGAACCCGGGAGCCCGGGAACCCAGAACCCACCGAAATCGGCCCGGAACCAATAGCCAGGAACCCGGGAACCCGAACCGGGAACCCGGGAACCCGGGAACCCAGCCTGCTACCCAAATCGGCGGGACATTTTCGCCAAAGCTTTCAACTTCTGCCAGGAGCCCTTCAGGGCAAGCACTGATTGGGGAATACGTGGTTCTAGGCCTCCTAGATGGGGTCGGAGTAGATGGGGTCGGAGGATCGCGCCGCATCGCGGATGCATCGGCGGTGCATCGGCGATGCGGTTCGATGTGGGGCCCGATTGTCTCCACGCCGACGTCGCCGATGCGTCGCCGATGCCGCCAGCGCATCGCCGAGGCATCGCCGATGCATCGCCGATGTATCTGCGATGTGGCGTGTCCTCCGACCCCATATACTCCGACCCCATCTAGGAGGCCTCTAGTGGTGCAGGCTGCGTGGTGCTCTCAGCGTGGTGCAAGTTCTGTGGGTGCCCACGGGGGGCCCTCGGGCGCCCGCCAGGCGAAATCCCGCCGCCCAGCCGGGCGCGCGAGGCGCACGCGAGGCTCCCGCGGGTTCCCGCCAGGCGAAACCCCGTCGCCGCCACCCAGCGCACGGGCGGAGGAGGAGGAGGAGGAGGAGGAGGAGGAGGAGGAGGAGGAGGAGGAGGAGGAGGAGGCGGCGGCGCCCACGAGGCTCCCGCAGGTGCCCACTGGGCGAAACCCCACCGTGCCCAACCCCAGCGCATGAATCGCCCTCGAGGTGCCCACGGGCGTCCACTGGGCGAAACCCCGCCGTACCCATCGAATTATTTAGCTGGAGAAATGCGACTCCTCAGTGCAAGCACTGTTTGGGGAATGATCATTTACAGCGTCACGATTGTCGTGTGATTGCGTGCCCCGTCGTAGGCTGCTGGAGCATGCTGGCAGGCTTCTGTGGGTGCTTGGGAGGCTTCTGGGTGTTTTTTTAAAAGGGGCTTCTGAAGGGCTTCTCGGGGCCGCTTCGGGGCCTCTTTGGGGCTCGCGTGGGGCTCGCGTGGCCTCGCGTGAGGCTCGCGTGGGTCTCCGTGGGGCTCGCGTGGGGTTCACGTGTGGTCTGCGTGGGGCTCGCGTGGGGCTAACGTGGGTCGTGCGTGAGGCTCGCGCAGGGTTGGCGCGGTGCTTGTGTGGTCTCACGCGGGGCGCGCGTTGGACGCGTTGGACTCGCGCGAACCCCGCGCGAGCTTGGCGGAGCCTTGCGCAAACCCCGCGCCAGCCCCGCGCGACTCCGACGGAGCCCGACGCAAGCCCCGCGCGGACCCCGCGCGTGACCAGCGTGGACACAGCGCAGGCCCCGCGCGAACCCCGCCATGTACCGTCGCTTTCTGGTGCGTACACATGAATAGCCGCGTGCCTCCAGCGCTAGCCGCTTTGTGCTCGCCATTTGTTGCGAGCGCCATTGAAGCAGCGGCAGCTTTGACGAGACCGAGGGGCAATGAGCATGCGCGCGCGCGCGCCCGTCGCAGACGCAGCGGCGCGCGTGCATTCTGGTAGCAAGCTGGCCGCGTTGGGGCCGGCGCCGACCCTCTGTTTGGGGGGCCATCGCAGCGCGAGATGTGGCTGGTGCCTCCCGCGCACCTGCACATTGGTTTCTTAGAGTGAAGTTATTGTTAACATCTTGTGAGGTGGTTGGGGAGCCTCACGCTGGTGGAGACCCGTGGCTGCTTTCGGCGGCCTCGGGGTCGCCCCGCTGGCAGCGCTGCTCCAGCGGCCCCGTGGCGCTGCCAGTGCGGCCCGCCCCCTCGGCAGGCTCGTCCCCAGCGGCGCCGGTCTGCCCAGCGACTGCCGTCGGTGCCCCCTGCGCCAGTGGCTCCCGCCGCGCCCCCGTGGCTGGCCTCCCCGCGGAGCTGCCGCTCCCGAGCGGCCCGCCCTCTTCGGCGAGCCCTCCGCCGGCAGCGCAGCCACTCTTCCCACCAAGTGTTCGCGGCGCTCGCGGCGCGCCACTGCCGCTGGCTTGGCGGGCGACGCCGCTGCCCGCTTCCGCCGGGCCTCCCCTGCCCGGGCGGACGGCCGCGCGCTCGCGGAGCAGGAGGCCCTCCAGTTCGTCGCCGTCCACTTTGCGGACGCGCCGCTCGACGCAGACACCACCCAGGCCTACTGGCCCTACGGGTGCGACGGGGCCGACGGATTGGCCTTGCCATCCGCTCCCGCGGCGGAGGCGGCGTGGTCCACGCTTGGCCGAGGCAGGCCGCAGCCACCACAGCCTGCAGCCCCGAGCTCCGGGCGCCTCTGCTGCAGGCGGCACTCCCGGGGACCCCCGCGTGGGCGGGCACCCGGCCCCTTGCCCCAGGCCACGCCGCAGTGGTCCCCCTGGCCTCGGCACGGGGCCTTGGGTGCGCCCCCGGCCCTGGCGCTCCATGGCCCAGGCCCGCCGCCGCGGCTGCTGCAACGGGCCCGCCGCTGTCCCCCCTGCGGGCGGCGTGGTGGCCTTTCCTGCTGCTGAGCCCCGCTGCCCCTGCCCGCGCCCCGCAGCAGCT